CACCACCCTGCCAGGTGATACCTGCATATTTAATAATGTTTTGAAAAATACTTTGAATGTGCTTTACTAGGGCACTAAGTCTCCAGAGCTGCACTTAAGCTCARCCTCGAATAGAGAATGATGGTTTCAGTCAGCTTCACTCACTTCTCCGCCCTAGTTTCTGGTCCATCCCTGCTTCATCATCCTCATCTCAGAATTTACAGCCATATTCATCAGAATAAGGGAAGGGGAAGAAGGAAGTAGAATTAATAGCTGAACATTTGCTTAGCAGTTTCTCTGCCTTTGTTTTAGAGGTTTTAGAGCAGAGATGGAAGCAGAGGTATTATTTCTCTGTAATGTCTCACTAAGCAGATTGTGAAGAGCATTTGGCACAGAAATAAAGTGATACCTGAGCACATTCTGCACTTCAATAGTACCTTTCATCCCAGAAGCTCAAAGTTATGAAGAAATATGCCTGTGAGTTTGTACCCATCATTATTCCCACTTCAAATATGGGAAACAGAAAGATAGAGAGGCTAAATAACCTGCCCATAGGTGGAAGGAAGTCTGTATCAGAGGTAAAAAAGAAAAATTAAAAACAGAGGTCTTTTAAAAGAAAATCATTGCCACAGCTTTGATGCATCCCAGGTCAGGCATAGGACCCCAGGATGGATTACTACCGGGCACCAAGTATATTGCCAGTTGCTACGCTGCACTGCTCATTGGTAGATATCCACTGTCCGGTATTCTTAAATGTTTTCACTTTTGAGGGAAAAAGAATGAATCCTGAATGCATGTTTGCACAGAAGGGAGTAAAATCATTTTAAGGGGTTGTCTAGAGTTTAGTCAGATGTCAGATGTCCCCAAAAGCTGAGCTCAAGAGGATATGTAGCAAAAAAATCTATTTAACCTGGCTGTAATTTCTTTTGCTCTGCAGTTTACCTGGAAACAATGACAAGAGAAARGGAGAAAGGATATCTGCAAGCAAGATCCCTCCCAATCCAGTGGCAGTGCCTTGCGGTGCTCTAGGAGCAGTCAGACAAATCATATTTCTCTGATTACCTTGATATTGTGTTAGAGTAAGTGAATAACCTTTTTTTTTTTTTTCTTTTTTTTTTTTTTCTCCCTCCTATCTGGGACTGCAAAGAGCCTTCTGAAGTAGGGTTTCACTTTGAGACATGTACTGAACTGGTGGTTTTTGTTAGTAATTTGGGATGGGGTGCCTCCCTTCTTAGGGCAATCCCTCTAACAACCCAATCCTTTCTCCATTTAACTGGCTCTATAAGAATAGGGCTGAATTGCCATTTCAGTAACCCAGGTTCYTTTTTTTAACTGCCTACAGACAAAAAGTCCCCAGAAGATGTTACTTTATTGCTTATATTCCAGAGTTTTCTACCAATAACTGCATATTTAATAATGTTTTGAAAAATACTTTGAATTTGCTGTACTAGGGCAGTAACAGCTTATAGCAGGGAGCCAAATTGCTAGTGAGGAAATGCACATTAAATGAACATTTCCATGTTATTAAAAATAATGTGCAGCCTTTGAAAAACGGAGGCCTAATATGATTTTGGAAAACAAACGAGGAGCTTTGATAAGTTTACAGCCRCCAAATGCCTCCAAGTAATGATAGCTGTCGACGTTTTCCTGCTTTATTTTTAATTGCTGCAGCTAATAACGTTAATGAGGTAAGGATGGCAATAGCTTYGTCACTGCAGCAGCCGGAGCGGGAAGGAGAGTGTTAAGCAGGCGAGAGCCCTGCCGGCACCGTCCTTGCTCATCTTTCCCGAGGTCCAGGCTGCCCCGTCCCCGTGCAGCCGCAGGGAACACGATGCAGAACAGACCTTTCAGGAGGGACAAACTGCTGCCAGCAGAAGGATATGGGAAACATCCTCCCCTCGTGTGATCCCTGGGGGTGAGAGATGCTCTAGCAGTGGCCTGTGCAGAGCATTGCTCGGGACTGCAACTAAAAGGAAAATCACTTCCTCTGTAATCCTCAGTGCAGAATTAACCACGGCAGTTTTTCTCTCTCTTTTTTTTTTTTTCTTTCCTCAGGAAAGCTGGTGCCTGACTTGTACTTTGATTTAGGGCCTGCTGCCGAATTCATTTGGTTTGTGAGTAATTTAAACCCCTGCATTTGCTGACTCAGTCTTAGTTATGACCCTGATTTGATCACTATATTGTTCCCTTTGTAATCCTTTAGTGGGGTTACAGCAGGTTAATCTCAGTGAAATGTTTGCTTAATTCTACCCCTGCTCATTTGTTCTTTTAATAAAATCTGTATAAAAGAATGGAGAAATGGTTATTCGTTCAGCTTGTACCAATTACTTGGAGAACAAAGCTCATTCAGCTCAAGTAGCTTAAGAGCAACTTAGTTTTGTTTCAACAGCCGAGGCTTTACCCTGATGGAAGATGAGGCACTTTCCCAGCTCTGGAACAAGGCCTGTGTGTTCCTTTGGTTAAAGTCTGCGACGTGCCCCTGTCTGGCACCCGGAGCTCGCTCAGCTTCTTCCCTAGCCTCACCTCTTACTGCCCACCTCTGCCAGGCTGCGTGTTCCTGCCCTACCCCTTCTTCCCCATCTTTCCCCCATCCTTTCAGGCTATTGTTCCCATAACCCATTAACAAAAGAGATGAAATGAGGTTTTTTTTTTGTTTCTGTATTTTATTTTTTTTTAATTATTGTTTTGTTCCCAAGGAGCTGTTGACAGTGGTAGTATGTCAGGGTAGGGAAGTGAACAAGGAGACTGCGGGAGCAGTAAACACACTTAGCAGATCTGCAGTGACCTCAGATGAAAGGCTGGCACTAGCAAGAAGCTCTCGTGGTGGCTCTGGGGCACCTCTCACTGCCCCGGAAAGCTGCTCGCTTTTACGTTTSCTTGCTCTGCACAGGACAACCTTGTCCATGAGCATGCTGAGGATGCTACGYCTCCAAGCCTTCCCTTGCAATATAAATACTAAATAACACAGAATCCGTGAGGGATACATTACCTCCCCAGAGGGGAGCAAGAGATTCGTGTGTTGCCGAAAGGGRGGGAAAAGGCAAGAAAACATATATAAATAGAAAAAGAGAGGATCGAATATGCTGCCAGAGCAGGGGGTATCTTTATAGACTTTGGTCCCTGGCTGTTAGAGAGCACTCAGCCCACAGCAGAGTGGATGTCTGAGCAAAGAAAGAGCTAGAAACATCTGATTCTCTGCTAAATGCAGCCTCTCATTACAAATTAAAACTAGTTTAATTTTACAATACCTTGAGGGGCCAAAATGAGATCGGAGAGTTATTACAGTGTTGGAACGACTTGGGCACAGAGATTGCTCTTTTTTTTTTTTAATTTTTCTTTTCTTTTTCTTTTTTTTTCTTTTTTCCAGCCACACTTCCCAAACCCACCAGAGGCAAAGTCTCCGAGTGGCTGCTCCTGCTGAGCTGGTGCTCGCCTGAGCTCTTTGCGGAGGCTTCTTGYAGATGGAGGACGCGACTCTTTGGCGAGAGGGAAGAGGGGGGCCTGGCTGAGGCGTGCTAACAAAGTAATAAAAGCCTCAAAATCGGCAAGGCAGCCACAAGAAAAGGTTCAGGGAAGCATGACAAGCTGTGGCTTCGGAACAACAGGGAGCTCCCACGGCAGCGAGCAGAAAACAATACCATATTGGCCGCAGAGCTCTGCTGCCAGCAATGCCGTTCCACCGACCACAGGAGAAATCTTTCAGATGTGCTCTGAGCCCTGTGCTTGTTCACTGAGCCAAATCACAAGTCCCTTCCTCGCTTTTTACTTATATTGTGCCCTAAAGCATTGCACAAGGCAGAAAGAAACCCACCCCAAAACACACACACAAAAAACCAAACAAACGAACAACAACAAAAAMCAGATTTAAGTCCTGAGAAGGGGCGGCAGAATTGCATGAAACCAGATTTCATTTTGGGGATAAGGAGTTGTCGTTCTCTGCCTTGGTGGATAGTGAATTCACTTAACTGCAGGGTACAACCAAGGCCATATGGATGGATCACTCACTAAAAATACAGACATATTTATGACATATCCCTGCTCACAAACTCCTTTTCACTACTGTGTTTCACCTCCACAGAAACACAGACACAATCGAAAAGAGCATAGTCCAGAAGACCTCCAAAATGCGGTTTCATTTCTGCACTAAATCTCCCCTCGATGGCTCACTGTGGCCCTGTATTGCCAATAGATTACAGGGTTTCAGCTATTTTCTCCACAGCAGAACGCAGAGAGGAACCCCCACCAGGCTTATCAGTACTCTCCATCAAATAAAAGCCCTTTAGCTTCCTCTCGCAAACCTCTCTCTAGGATTCATGTATATTTTATCAAAGTTGCATGCAGTTTTGATACTTGTTTCTAAAGTGCTTTAGTATAAATCCCAAGATGTCCTGAAATGCTGCGGTGGCCCCTTTTTAAAAAAAATCAAGGTTAAAGCAGAGAAAAAATGAAATGACTTGGCTCCGTAGCATGTATTTAGAGTAAATTCTGCTCAACAGGCTTCTATTCATAATAAATAAGCAGAAGAAACACCAACATGTCTCTATACATGATCACTTCACTATTGTAATTGTACCCTGGGAGCAGCAGGAACAAAGATGAACTCCACAGTTTCACCTCTCATAAATGAAGGTCCTCCATGATCTAAAGCTTTTTTTTTTCCAGAAATGTTTTACATGCCAAAAAAGAAGTCAGCACAGAAGAGCTATACCCTCAGTGGTAACCAGTTAGATAGCAGTTTAGAAAAAGGAAAACAAAAATGTTGCATTTGCCAACTAGGAATTTTGCTCTTTTTTTTTTTTTTTTTGGTCAACTGCATGGAAAAATATTACAACAATTATATTTAATTTCATAACTCCTCTGTGTTCTAGTCATTTGCAAATTATAGATAAAGGATGGTCGGCAAGTATGTTCTGGCTACAGTGAAATAAGGCATTTGGGTATAAATCTGCAAGAGCTAGCATAGTAGAGGGGTGATTTGAGAAGATTTTTTTTTTTAAATGAAATAGAGTTTTAGTACTTACAGCTGTCCTCTTCTTCAGTAATACATTTCACAACATAACAGGCATAGATGAAGCCCGCCAGCTGAAACAGAATGTAAAAGCATTAGATCTAAAGCAAATATGATAGAAAGGAGAAGTTGTTTTAAAATAAACACCAGAAACAGCAGAAATTACAAACTTCACCAGACGGTGTTTGATGGGGCAACAATAATTCTTTACAACAATTCTTTGCTTCTAATAATGAGTGAATTTCCTTATTTTCTGTGATTCTTTTGGAAGCAGAGTGTTTTTTCCTCAAATTAAAAAAATCAATAAAATTACAATTTAATTAATTAAAATATACTTTGCTTCTTTTTAATTATTGAAAACCAAACCCTATGCAGATCGGTGATTGGAAGGAATTTAGCAAATTGAATGTTATATGTTTATGTCAAAACCATATTTGTTTGCTAGCAAAATGCCCTCTAGCAGAATTCTCTCTCTCCTTTCCTTTTTTTTTTTTTCTCATTTTAGCAGAACTTTGCCAACTAAATCTAGCATTGATTCAGTGCCCTTGCAAACTTGTAAAGGTTTTATAGAGACATTTTATCACTTTAAATGAGGGTTGTGGACCTGGCACTGGTTGAGTTCATGTGTCTGCAGCAAGCCCTGAGCCTTGAGAATACCTAGTGCATCATCCCTGGATAAATCTATATATGCTTGCATCAGTGGCTCACGTTGCACCTCGCGAACATGAATCTTGTTCCATGCAATCCTCTCCTCAGAACAAGCCCCAAAGTGGGTTAAAACCACAAACAAAGTAACTAGAAGAAAATGTAGATGCCGGTGTGCTGCTGGAGTACCATCATAGATTGTTTATCTTACATTGTAATTAAAAAAAAAAAAAAAAGAAAGAAATTAATGGCCAATATCACACATGACCATGCCCATCATGTAAATCCTCTGCTAGTCCTTCTACCAAATTCTGTTTGTCGTGCCTAAGAAGATGTGCTCATATTGGAAGCAATAAAGCAAATACTGCAACAGCTCTCCAACAGTTATCTGCTGCTCCTGTGTTTTATATGGTTTCCCTACATAAAGATTTGAAAAGTTTTGTGGCTGCAAACCAACCATTTTCCATCCTTTGAGTTGCAAACCCAGATGTCACCTTTAGGAATTCTTCTTGTATTTGGATAATAAAAACATCTAAAGTCTCTCCATGTGCATGGTGCAAGAAAACTTAATTTCTGGATGAGGGAGATTATGACCTCAATTTCAGAATAACTAATCAGAACATCAGACAGTAAACTGAGGAATCTGAGAAAAGACCACATAATCTTGTGAATTGGTAAATTGCACTGGTTAGTTCAATTATACAACCATATGAACCAATGTGCATCTGCAAAACATTGTAGTGTTCTGGGTTAGGGTCCTTAATGTAAACTGTATATATGAAATACAAGCAAAACTGTTCTGCTTCCTCATATCTCCATCTTGGAAGCAGTGATTGTGTAGAAAACCTTCCATATGTACAGACTCTAGTTTCTAACATCTGTAAGTGTGAGCAAGGGAGGAAGGAGAGGAAGAGGAACAAGAGGTCAGCCTAAAGATTTTTGTGAAGAGGTCAACACTTGATTTGGTGCTCACACTGCCTAGATGTTGTATACTAGCTGCTTAAGTTCCCATTGCGAGCCCGGAAGCTGCATTGCAACAGAACTAAATCATTAATTTTGTCATTTATTATAAATCTGCTTTATAGTGCTGCTGGGAAGATTTTACACCTGGGAAGAATGAAATATTCACTGCCGGACACAAAGAACGCACTGTACCAAGAGCATCAGCATTCAGCTAATATCAGCATTTCATCTCTGTTTTATTGTATCACTCTTTCCTTCGGTTTCTTGGCTACAAGACAGAGGGCTAATTTACTTCACTGAGTTATGCCCTGCATAACCCTATTGACTTCAGTGACATTACATGCGGTTTAATTCAGCAAAGAATTAGGCCCAGAAAGGTTATTCATAAATGATTCCATTCTCAGATGTGAACCTTAGCTTAATAGTTTCTCTGTTCTCTTTTTACAGACCATCAGATCCAAGTTAGCTGAATAGTTACATCTCTGGCAGGCGACCACACTGGTAAAGCTCTTCTTTTAATACAATTCAGCATTTCACTTTCTGCTAAAACACCACAGGTTTTTCTGTCTTTAACGAAATTCTTCTCACAAAACACAGTAAACAAGCTTTATCGCAAACTGTGCTTACTACCGATCTTTTAATTGTATTCAGTTGCATCCCTTAAGTATCTAGGGAACTCCTTTGATATATAAGTAAATCCTACAGCATTTCGTCAGATGAGCTTGCCGATTAAGAGTGCCTTAAAGACAGAAATTGTTCTGTTCTAAATACAAATGGAAGCTTTTTTTTTCCTAAAAGAAAATGAAAATTCATTTCTCACAGTCATCCAATGCTTTGCTTGATACACATAATAATTATGTTTTTTTTTAACATCCTTTAACATTCTATTAGCTTTTTTTATTTATTTTTTTTAACAAGTAACTTAGCAATTCTGATCCAGTGATAGATCCATTCATGGATAGATAGATGAATTCTGATCCATTCAAGTGATAGACATTCAAGTCTTACTTTTTAATTAAGTTAGCAATAAAGGGCATTCTCTGAGACCTAAGGCTCAGAGCTGACTGTGTTGGTTTTTACTTTGAACATACTCAAAGACCTGAGCTCACTGTGACTATAGATACCAATGGGATGGAGACTAGACCATGGTGTACTCAGGGCAAGCTCGTCTACGCATACAGCTGAGCTTTCTTGGGGGCACAGGCAGCTAAAACAATAGTTAATTAATAAATTTCCACAAGGATGAATTTGCCTCATTAATTACAAGTACAAAGGGCGTTACTTTGACCTTGYTTCTCTCCATATTCACTCTGCAATGTACACACACATATACATATATTTATGTGTTTATGTGTTTATRTAAATATAATAAATTCCAAACTAAATACTCCACTGAACATACTTCTCCCTATGGAGAAGGAGGTGGGAAAACAAATGACAGAGGTTAGTCACATGGCTTAACAGCTTAATATATTTCTGGAGAGTTCTCAAACACACAGTGCTGAGTGCAGTACAGGAACTGCAAGAACAGAATCTTCCTAGTTCGGGAGGCTTTTGGTTTTTTTTTTTTCTGTGAGGAGGAATGGAATGAGTCCTTTAGAGGCAATAAAGAAAATGTGCTGACTGTCTCAGAGAATTAATTTGGAACTATGAAGAATTGTGTGGAAACTCCTTGCTTTATATCCNTTTTTTTTTTTTTTTTTTTTTTTTTTCCTTTTCATTAACCTAGTTTTCTTTTATAAACCACGCTAGGATAAAAACCTAAGTGTGATGAACACAAAATCTGATCTGGATCACAGAATCATCCAAATTAGATGTCTACATCTGTCTCTACAATTAAAACAATCCTGTACTGTGGGTCTGCAGGACAGAAGGAAGTGCTAACACTCCTGTTCATTTMTATATAGGGTGATTACTGAACACATGTTTTCATGAGCTGCATTTTCTGCTGCTTAAGAAAAACAGGTCTCCAGTATATTCACATGAGTGTAAATAAACACTGCTCTTTTTAAAAGTTACACATTGCCCATCACTCTACTAGCTTTCATAGTGTTAATTTCATGGCATCTGCTGTTCATTTACATACAAGAGAGTAATTATATGGTGATCTCAAACACTTCTGTTAAAAAAAATCACCTTGATAAAACAACTGTTTCTTCAGCAAAGGAAAAAAAACCCAAAAGCCTAAAATAAATCAGTATTAAAGCAGCATAAATAAATAGATGGCAATAAGATTAATTATGGAATTTCATTAATGCATCTTATTCCATTATTGTGGCTATATTGGGTAAAAGAAAAACGTTGACAGAATATTCCATGCCCTAGAAAGCACCAACCTGTTAAACTGACAGTGAGTCTTATGTGATGCTGAGTTTTCTGTGAGTGTACTTCCAGAGTGGCCCAAAATGTCATGTGTTGGGATCAAATTTAATCAGAATGCATATTGATCAAAATCCTGTCTTGCTATTTTTTATCACTCCTTTTATGAAGATAAATGTTTTCAYACACTGCAAATGGCATCAAATCTGAGAAAAAGCTATTATATGAAAACCCATAATTCCTGGTCCTCCATCTTTTCCTCTTTTAAAGCARTATCTGGATAGATAAATATTAGGGGTTATCTTCATTAAGCTGGACAGCTGAAACAGAAGAATGACAACAGTGAAGAAACAAAAAATTAAAAGTAGGTAAGACCCGAGTGAGGAAAGGTGATGAGGAGAAGGCTTTAAAGATGAAAATGAATGATTTAAGGGTTGTAGAAATAGCCCAGRGTCTTGGCTTCACTGAATATTTTTTAGTATATTTTTCTGTAGCTGTTTTTTTATCAGGAGAAGGAGACAYGAAACTTGATAAAACACAAACCCACAACATTTTCCTATTGACAGATATTACACTGTCCACTGAAACAGCTAATGCTGAAGCGTATTAATGTATTTTTCATGACTAAGTTTTTCAGATCCCAAAGCTTTTTCAGGTTCCCATGAACCGTATGCTTGAAGCTCTTCACAAATACTGGGACAGTTCAGGTAGTAATAATGGACCACTACACATCAGGTTAATTAGGTCAGGTTAATTTTGGTTATGGGAAGTTTATGTGGCCAAGCTGTGATGTTACATTTATATCCACATGCAATCTAACTATATTTCTCAAAGAGAAATATAGGAAACTGCACATTTAGAGCCTTTGTAATGTTTTGCCTTTATGGGATGGTATTTTTTTTTTAAATGGAGTTTTGGAGACTGGTAAAATACACACACATATATATATACATACATACATACACACATACATACATACATACATTATTAAGCAAGTGAAGAGCTGGAGAATTATTTCTCAGAAAAATCCTGCTCATTTCTTAGCAGAATAGATGAGACATAGACCTTTCTATCAACATCTGTAGAATTAAATCAGTGTCATGGGGGTTCTAAAGCTGCCCCCTGCAAAAACCCTTTCAAGCATGAT